GAGCTGACCTCCATCTCCCTGCCCTCCTGTTTAAAGCTTCCCCAACGCTTTTGGTTTGCTGCAGACGGAGTGGAACCAAAAGCACCTCTGGGCTCACACACCTGTGTCAAGGCAGGGTGATCTCCTGCGTGATGCTGGAGAGAAGAGAGCTCTGCTTTGCACCCACAGGGGTGTCCATCATTCTGTGGCAGCTGCTAGAATTTTCTTTACACGTCCCCACCCTTTTTTCTGTCCCCAGGCTCACCCAGCACGGCTGGTTACTACGGCGTCCGCAGATCCTTCCCGGCCGAGCTGGATTTCCACAGCACCAAGCAGTTTGTCAGCGATGCCTTCCCCTCCCCTCTGGGCTCCAAACCCTTCCCCTGCGACCCCTCTGCCCCCCAGGGCTACCCAGCCCTCCTGGAGCCCTATCTCAGCGAGCAGTTCGGGGATCACCGCGCTCCTCCCGTCCCAGCTGCCACCAGCTCCTTCTTCAGCGCTCCGGCCGTGCCCCCTCTCCTGCCATCCTTCCCCAACGACACGGGGCACTTCCTGCTCGTGAGTGCCCCCTGGTCCTGTCCCCCAGGGCAGGGTCACCCCCTTTAAATGTGGGGTTCGGTCAGGGGGACTCGTGGGGGAAGGGTGTGGCAGGGCTCTGCGGGGAGGGTTTTTCTCTTTGTTTCCATCTAATTGTCCCCTGGTCCTGTTGGAGACATCCCTGGAGACATCCCATTCTCTCTGAACGGGACACTGCTCCCAGGCACAGGCTGGGATTGCTGGGGTGGCCTGTGCAGGGCCAGGAGCAGGGTCTGATGATCCTGGTGGGTCCCTTCCAACTCAGGATAACTCTGTGACTCCATGATTTATGAAATTCTCCCTCCCTGAGTTTCCAGAAACAACCTGTAGTGACTCCAGGCTCCCTGTCCCAGCTCCACTCACAGCCCCACCACAGAGCTCCTGGATCCTGTAGGATCTGGTCAGTCCTACTGGGACCCTGCTCCAGGCCCTGCTGCCAGGATGGAGGCTCCCTTTCAAACACCAAACACGCTGCCAGGATGGAGGTTCCCTTTCAAACACCAAACACGCTGCCAGGATGGAGGTTCCCTGTCACAGCTCAAACACCAAATATTGCTGCCAGGATGGAGGCTCCCTTTCAAACACCAAACACGCTGCCAGGATGGAGGCTCCATAGTTCAAACACCAAACACTGCTGACAGGATGGAGGTTCCCTTTCAAACACCAAACACGCTGCCAGGCTGGAGGTTCCCTGTCACAGCTCAAACACCAAATATTGCTGCCAGGATGGAGGCTCCCTTTCAAACACCAAACCCGCTGCCAGGATGGAGGTTCCCTGTCACAGCTCAAACCCCAAATATTGCTGCCAGGATGGAGGTTCCCTTTCAAACACCAAACATTGCTGACAGGATGGAGGTTCCCTTTCACAGCTCAAACACCAAACATTGCTGCCAGGATGGAGGTTCCACAGTTCAAACACCAAACACTGCTCCAGAGCCACAGAAACCCTTTGGGCATTCCCAGGGATGGATACTCCATTACCTCCAGGACAGGCTTTTGTTCCTAAGTGTTTTCTTTGCCTTCTCTCCCTGTTTCCCTGCAGAGAGAGCCCTGGGAGCAGCCCTCACCCGAGAGCCTCGGCCAGCCTGACAGTGCCTGCTCAGAGCCTCTGCAGCCGCTCCCTGCCACCTCCAGCTGCCTCTCCCTGCCCGAATCCGGAGCTGCTTCCCCGTTCCGAGGCTCAGGTTGGACCCCAGCCCTCCCTGGAGCCCAGCCCTACCCTCTGCACCCCCTTGAAGATGCCCACTACTCCCCCAGCTACGCGGCCACCTCGCCCTACAGCTTGTCCCCATTCGTGGCCGTGGCCAGCGAGCCCTCCAGGATGAGCCACCTGTGCCCCGAGCCACCCTCGGAGCCACCACACCTTCCCGAGCACTCTGCCTGGCCCAAAGAGGATGGAAGTGCCCTCTGGGGGACTTATGAAGGCAGGAGAACTTACTGAGGAGAGAGAAGAGCTGGAGGAAAGAAAACCAGACCATTATAAAGCAAATTTTGTGCTCCTTCCTAAAACTGCTCCTTCAAGCGTGATGTTTTGTGCTCTGGTTGGAAACACAGTCACTGGACACACCACATTTAGGTCAGGGTGGTGCCTTCCAGTGCCTCGAGAAAGGAATTTCTCCCAGCCCCACAAGTAAAATATTCAGCCTGAAAAACCTCTGTGCTCTGCAGGTTTCTCCTACCAACAAGAATCCCTGCTCAGAGAGCTTTTCTAGCCTATATGGTTTGGGGGCTCTGTAGGGTGTGGGCACTGCCCTGCCTGCTGACTTGTGCCCGAGGAAGCCTCGCCACCCCTGCAGGGCACCAAACGCCCCCTCCCCAACACCCCTTTTACCCTGAATGAGCCCACAGCAGCTCCACACCCACCCGGTGGGCTGCTCTGGGGGCACCCAGGTGGGCTGGCAATGCCAATGGCAGCGGTAGCCAGCCCTGAGGACATCCAGGTGGGCTGGCAGTGCCAATGGCATTGGTACCCAGCCCTGAGGACATCCAGGTGGGCTGGCAGTGCCAATGGCAGCGGTAGCCAGCCCCGTGGCCACTAGAGGTAGCTCTGCACACACGAACAGCGCCGTGTTCGTGTGTGCAGCACATCCTGCTCTGTCCCACGGAGGGGTCACCCCCTTCGGCCCAGCTCGCCCCCAGCCTGGCACCCACAGCAGGAGGCTCTGGAGCATGCCAGCCCCGGGGAACGTGTGGGGATGAGGCGCTTAAATCCCTCATTGCCTTTTCTCCTCAAACCCTGGGGCATTTCAAGCTTTCCGAGCACCTTCCACTCCCACAAGTGGCAGCTGTGGAGCCTCCAGGGGTGGCCCTGCCCAGCCAGAGCTGGTCCCCCTCACCTCAGGGTGTTTGCAGCCCTCCTGGCCCCAAACCTGAACTGTCCCCCCTCACCTCAGGGTGTTTGCAGCCCTCCTGGCCCCAAACCTGAACTGTCCCCCCTCACCTCAGGGTGTTTGCAGCCCTCCTGGCCCCAAACCTGAACTGTCCCCCCTCACCTCAGGGTGTTTGCAGCCCTCCTGGCCCCAAACCTGAACTGTCCCCCCTCACCTCAGGGTGTTTGCAGCCCTCCTGGCCCCAAACCTGAACTGTCCCTCCTCACCTCAGGGTGTTTGCAGCTCTCCTGGCCCCAAACCTGCACTGTTCCCCCCTCACAGGTGTGTGCTTCTCCTGGCCCCACAGCCGGCCCTGCTGCCCCAAACCTGAGCTGTTCCCCCTCACCTCAGGGCGTGTGCCTCTCCTTCCCCCAAACCTGAGCTGTTCCCCCTCACCTCAGGTGTGTGCAGCTCTCCTGGCCCCACACCCAGCCCCTCTGCCCCAAACCTGAGCCCAGCTCGATCCTTTTCCACTCCACAGCTGCCACCACAGCCGGGCTGAGCCCTGTGACCATCTGAGCTGTTCCTCCTGCCAGGGCTGAAGGAGGCCCTGCACCAGGCCAGGGTGGCTGTGCTGCCCTCAGGCCCTGGGGAGAAGCAGGGACAGGGTTTTGAGCTGTCTGGAAAGGGTTTGACCCACTCAGGCATTCACTCCTAACCCAGGCAGGGTTTTCCTCAGCCTGGAAATGCTCTGAAGCCCAGGAACAGCCAGAACTCTGCTGCCTCGTGGTTCCTGAGGGCATCCAGCTCCCCCAGGGCTGGAGCTGGGCAGCCTGCAGGCTCTGCCCTCTGCTTGCAGGGGTAAACAATCACCATGCCAGCCCCCTGCAGCCTGCACCCACCCACAGCAGCTCCAGGAGGGAGCAGCCCCACTAAGGGAAGGGTTTCAGCTCCCAAATTCCTCAGTGAGACCCTGTCCCCTCCCTGCAGAGCACATTCCTTTGTGCTTGGGGCAGGTGGGCTCCTCTCCTGGTGGGATGTGTCCCTATAAAGCTGTCCCAGGCAGGGCTTGGCCTACCAGGAGCTGCAGGGGCACATTTCAGAGCCAGGAATGGCCTCACTCCCCACAGAAATCAAGTGTTATTTGTTCAACTTAAAGGGAAAAAAAAAATAAAAAATTCAGCCGTGACGACAGCCAGCCTGAGCTGCTGGTAGATGATTAACAGCCTGGCCTGCTCTCTGCCTCACTCCCTGCCCGTGGCTGAGGCTGTGGTCCCCAGGAAAAGGCTTTAAAGGCAGCCTAAAAACCCAGTTCCAGCTTTGCTGGGAAGGGATGGCTGTCCCAAAACTCTGAGCCACACGCTGAACCCCACAGCTGCAGCTGCCAGGGCAGGCAGCACTGAGGCTTGTGAGGAAAAGGCCGATTTGTGCAGCACAGGCAAAGAGCCTGAAGTGGGGGAAAGCACAAATAAACTGCGGTGTGAGCCCAGAATCCAGGCAGAGGGAGGGAATGCTGTGGGGAGAAGTGGGGCTCAGGTAACTTCAGCCACCTGGGTGCCCAGGGCAGCCTCTTTGTTAGGCCACACCTGCCCGCTGCCATTTTTGCCCCAAAACCTCAGAATTTAGCCTTAAAACGTGAAAAAATGTGCAAAAAGCAAGTCGGCCCCTCGCAGAGTGCTCACTGCAGGTAGCAAATGAAATATGAGAGGGCTGGAGCCCAGCCTGTGCATCTGAGGGGAAAACACTGAGCTGCTTTGGAGGCATCTGCTTCATTCAGGGAAAGATGGATAAAACCCTACAAATGTCCCAAAAGCAAAGGGTGGGGAGGGTGACCCCAGCAAATCCTATTACCCCAGACCCTCTGCTAGATGGGGATGTGCTCGGTTTCACAAAAAGATAGCCCATTTTGTGGAGCCTTTGAATATTCAAATTGAAAGTATCGCGCAATCATTGATTGTCAAATCATTGGTTTCTAGAGGTTTTAAATACTTGGCATTAGGAGAGAAAAACTCAAACTTATACCCGTAGGGATAAAACAATAATATTGTCGGGATCCACCTGCCATTACCACCAGGCAGGCAGGTCCCTTCAACCCCAAATTTCAAGCCTGACTCCTCTTGCCCCCTTGGCCAGCTTGTGGGGCCGGGGCCGGGGCCACCTCTGCTGCTGCACCGGGCACCTGGCGAGGTGCTGCCCGCTCCGGCTCGCCATGTCCGGTAAGCCCCGCTCCGTGCCCCCGCCGGCCCCCACGCCCCGCTTTGGGGCCGTTTCGGGGTTCGCCGGGGTCACTCCGCCAGCGAGGCGATGCCGCCTGCCAAGGCAGGAGGGAGCGGGGAGGGCGGGGAGGAGGGAGGGAGGAGGCGCGGAAGGATCGGCTGCTGCCCGCCGGGTGCCAGCGCGGCCGGCTGGGGACGGGGCTCCGCGGGCACCGCCGGGCACCCAGCGGGGCTTCTGCCCCGGGGGGCTGTGCTGCCACTCCCAGCCGGGGTGGCACAGGGGATCCCGCACGTCTGTGTGCCCTGCCCGCACATCTGTGTGCCCTCTCTGCATCTGTGCCCTCCCCGCATCCCTGTGTGCCCTCCCTGCACCCCTATGTGCCTTCCCTGCATCCCTGTGTGCCCTCTCTGTATCTGTGCCTTCCCTGCATCCCTGTGTGCCCTCCCTGCACCCCTGTGTGCCTTCCCTGCATCCCTGTGTGCCCTCCCTGCACCCCTGTGTGCCCCCCCTGCATCTCTGTGTGCCCTTCCCACATCTCTGTGTGCCCTCTCTGCATCTGTGCCCTCCCTGCATCCCTGTGTGCCCTCTCTGTATCTGTGCCCTCCCTGCATCCCTGTGTGCCCTCCCCGCACACTCCACCCTGGCCATGCTGCCCCTGAATCCCAGCCCTGCTCCCCAACCCCGAGTCCACACCCTGTCCTTGTCACCCTACTCCCAGCCCACCCTCAGCAGCTTTTCCCTCGATGCCCAGCACATGACTGTGCCCCTGGAACCCCAGCCCCATCACCCTGCTCTCTGACCCCCAGAATCATCGCTCTGCCCCTTCAGTGGGCAACCCACCCTGGCCACCCTCCTCCCTGACCCCCAGTCCATCACCTTGCCTGCCCCCTGCGTCCCAAATCCATCACCCTGCCCTTGACCCCCTGCCCACCCCAGCCTGTCCCTGTCACCCTGCTCCTGATTCCCCACCCTGTGCCCACCCTGTCCTTGCCCCCAGCCCCATCACTCTGCTCCCTGCCCACCCCATGCCCACCCTGTCCTTGCCCCCAGCCCCATCACTCTGCTCCCTGCCCACCCTGTGCCAACCCTTGGCCCTGCTACCTCAGAGCCCTCCCTGGCTGCAGAGATCTCTGCTAACGCGGGTGTTCTCCTTAAATCCCACCCTTCCCTCCCCTCATTTTCCCCAGCTTGTTGAACAGAAACAAAACACAAACCAGGAGATGAATAATCCCCGGCTGAGCCCAGCTCAGCACAGTGCCCTGAAGGCAGCCCTGTCACGTCTCTGGAGGGCCCCGGGTGCCTGTCCCAGCTCGTCCTGCCCCAGAGCAGCCCGGGGGCACTGAGAGGGCTGCCAGAGGTCACGGCACAAGGGGACAGTGCCTGCAGTGCAGGATTCCCCGGCCCTGTGGGCACAACCTGCAAACCCAGCGTTGTTTCTGTGCCAGGATCTCCTGGCACTGTGCAGCTGCCTTGGAGAAGGAGTTCTGTGCCCAGAGGTGGCACTGGAAGGCCGGGTTTAAATCGGGCACTGCTGTTCTCCTGCTGGGAGTTTATTTTTGGTGCCTCCTCTGGGGCTGTGTGCTCCCTGCTCTGGCATTTTCTGAGTGTAGAGAGCAGTCTGGGTGTGTTTCCTTTTATTGTGTGATTTCAGTTAAAACACCAGCAGAAAGCTGGGACAGAAACAACTGCCAGAGGATCTGAGTGTTTTACCATGAGTGCAACAAGTGAAAGTGGTTTTTCAGAAGAAGTAAATTCTTTATAATTTCCTGTTCTAAAAATCCCTCATTAGGTAGTGACTGGTGATTGCTGGCTGGTTTTGGCTGGATTAAACACACCCTCAATTCTTGTTTGAAATAAATAGGGGTGTACATGAGCAGAATAAAGAGATAATCTAGGCTTTGCAAGAAAGAAGTCATTTTACTGGTGTTTTGTTGAGCTCTCTGAATAACCACCCACATATTTCCATTGTTTTATTCCTGGGCTTCATCTGCCAGATGAAACGCTTCCCACATTTATTTTCAGGTCCTGAGAGAGGCAAATATGTCAGGAATTTAAATGAATCCAACAGCAGCACCAGATGGAGCTTGGTATTGGGAAAGCTGGAAGGGGGGCAGGGGAAGAAGCAGCTAGATAAGAATAAACATGTGGATTTTAAATATTATCAACAGCAAGATTTTCATGAGTGTCTGCTTGTCCCAAGCTGGACTAGCAGGTGTTAAAGAAGGCTGTGAGTGTGACTGCAAACAGAGACTAAAAAATTAGTCATGTTAAGTCTAAAACTGTTCTCCACATGGAGCACACCTGAAAACCTGCTGGATTTGCTGTTTGCTCCGAGATTCTCCCTCCTTGCAAAGTGTTTTTCCACAAATTCTTCCAGGAAAGCCCAAGGTGTACCAAGGCGTGAGGGTGAAGATCACAGTCAAGGAGTTGCTGCAGCAGAGGAGAGCACGACAAGCAGCCACTGGTTCAGCAGTGAGTAAAAATATTGTGGTGTTGGCTTTGTACCTTCTTTTTTAATGTTTTTATTTTTGCCAGGACTGTAATCTCTGGGCCAAAATCTGAGTGTAACAGGCTGGTGAGGATGGGGGAAAGGAACATTCAGTCAGTGTAGCTGCAGCAGTGACCTAAAGGAGTGAGAATCTGAGGAATACAGGCAGAAAACAAAGCTGCTGCTCCAGAAAAGTCACTCCCTCCGGGATGGAAGGCTCACCTGGGCAGCCCCATCCCTTCTGGAGGAGGGGCTGGAGCTCTGTGTGCACACACACGTGCACATTCCCTCTCATTCCCTCTTCCAGCCTTTGTAGGATTCCTCCAGCTCCAGCCACTCAGGGGATTTGCATAAAGAGCTTGGCAAATCATTATTTCTTCCTGGTTCATGACATTGCAGCTCTTGAAGCCTTTCAGATTTCAGCTTCTGCACTTTGCTGCAGCTGATTGCACAAAAACCAGCCTGAGATCCGGGGCAGAGAGGTCTGGGTGAAGAGAATTATCTGGTTTTGGAAAGGCTGGGTCACTGCAGCCCCAACAGCAGCAGCCTCTTCATCACAGCCAGATGTGGAACCGGTTTTCACTTCCCACCAGCACTTGACACAACCCCTGTGGTGCCCACACAGGAAAAAGTGAAAAGTGGCGGTGAGGGAAGTCACCTCGGTGACCTGCACAAGGTATGGCCCGCCCCAAAGCCCCGAGGCTTTGGGCTGGCAGGATGTGCGCTGAGGAAAGCTCAACCTGGGGACTCCATCTCTGCCTTGTCACGTCTGCCCCAGGCACAAAAGGCACCCTCAGCCCAGAAGAGCCACTGTTTAAGGAATTAAATGCACGAGATGTGCCAGGAAGTTGTTGCCAGGGAAATGAGCTGCTCACTCGAGAGCATCTTGAATAAAGGAAATTAAGTGGAGGGCTGTATGAATTAAATCTAAGGGGAAAACCCACGCCAGCATTTGTACTTGCAGAGTAAAATCCTGGCCCCCAAGCAGCAAAAGTCCTGTTGCTTTTGGGGTGGATTTCTTCCTTCCAGCAGGTCAGGTTCCCAGAAGTGGTTGATCTGTCTTGCTTCAGCTTCCAGCATTCCTTAAAAAACGAAGCTGTGCCTTTTCAAGGAGCACTGCCAGAGCTGCTTCTCAAACATCAATCCAGTCTGATGGGACACCTGCGGTGCTCTTTAGTTAATTACTCATTCCCAGTAATATCCATCCCTACGAATTCCTTGGGATTCCCTCCACGGTGGGATTCACGCTCCTGGAAATTAACACACATTAGTTTCAGAGGCAGCTCTGCAGAATCGGGAATGCAGCACAAAGAGCCCCTGAGCACAGAGCTGATGCAGGGGCTTCACCCCGGGTGGGTGCAAAAATCCTCTTGTGCAATGTTCATCCAATGCCAGCGAGGTTTTCCCAGCCACAGCTAGGAGGGAAATAAGGTTTATTTAAAGAGTTTTCCCTGAAATCCAGACTCACCTTGCTCTGTGCCACAGCTCCTCTCCTTCCCTTCTCCTTGCCCAGGTTCCTTGGGACAGCAGCAGCAGCAGCAGCATCCAGTTCGCAGAGTCTGTGTCTCCGCCTCACCCAGGTTGGTACAAAGCCCATCCACACGGCCCTTCCCACCCCATTCCCAATTTTTCCCACAGCCCCGAGCCTTCCCAGCCCTTGTTTGAGGCCGGCAGCGCCCGAGGTGCGGCCAATCAGCACCTGCAGGGAGCCCGTGGGATGCAGATGAGGAGCTGAGAGCGCACCGGGCTCTCCTTTCCGAGGCTCCCACAGCAGGGAATTGCATCCCCTTGGGAAGGGATGCTCATCCCGAGGGAATAACATCACCCTCCCCAGGCTGTGGGGCCACTGGGGGTCAGAGTGCCCTGGAGCCCCTGGCTGGGCTCTGTTCTCTCCTCCCTCTCCTGCCAGCATCCACAGGAGTGAGAGAAATACCAGATTTTCAACACCACCAAGAGTTTCCTCCTCCTGCCTGTGAATATCCAAGGAAAAGGGGGAAGGGGTGAGGGGAGGGGCGCTTTGGGCTCACAGATCCTTCAGTTATCCCCAGCACAGAGGAAAGGCTGTGCAGGTGTGAGTGCACACACTGCACGGACAAGGAAATTGTTAAATCATCGATAGCTGGGAATCCATTTGCTTATGTTAATAAAGAAACGTGAGACACACCAAAGCTGACATGCCAAAGCCTTTTCAGGCTGGAAAGTCTCCATCAGTTTATGTATTTTGGGTGTTTCTCACTCCCCACAGCCAGCTAAACACTGCCACCTTTGACCCTGCAATGTGCATTTCAGACCTGTGCCCTTCACGTGGACAGGGCTTAAACCATGTTTGAGCTTGGTGTGTAAAGATAATAATTTGGAAAAGCCAGACCTGCTGTGAGCTTTTCAGGAACTCACCCAATGCTACATGGTCACAATGCCACATCAGCCCTGCCTTGCTCCATTTGTTCTGCTCAGAAGTTCGTCTCCTGTCTGGCTGTTTGGAGGATAAAAAAGCAAATTATCCTCCTGTTATCCCCTTTTTCCTGCAGGTGTAGCTGCCCCGGGTCTGGAGATGAGGCAAAGGCACAGCTGCCAGGCTGGGAAGCACAAATCACTGCCTGGCACCTTCCAGGGCTGCAAACAGGGCACAGAAGGGAGGCCAGAGGGTCAAGAGTCTGAGGGAATTTCCAGCTGGATCCCTGTCCAAAATGCCTGGGGCCTGAAGAGTTTCCAGCAGTGAAAGAGCTTTATAGCAGAGGGGGCTGCATTCCCTGAGTTATCCACAAGCTTTTGACATCTCCCTCGTGGTTTCTGCTTTCCTACAAAATCCACCTTGCCCTTGAAAGGCCTATTTATGTCTAAATGCACAGGGTTACTGAGCACAGGAGAGCACCGAAACCTGCCCTTTGTGAAGACAAACACTGATTAATTTGCTGCTGTCTGCTTTCCTTTCTCTCCTAGAACCTTTTGAAGCAGAACCCATCCCTCCTGTGCCCAGCTGCTGCCCGTCCTGGCAGTTTTCCAGCTGCCTCTCCTGTGAGGAAAGCCCTGGATACCTGGAGCAGCTGATAGATTCCTGCCTGCAGTCGGATGCACCCTCTGAGCCAGCCTTCAGTGCCCTCCAGCCATCCCCACACTACACCCCTGACACCTTCCAGCCAGTCCAGCTCTGCTTCAACCAGGGCCTGGTGAGCTTTGGGACCAGGGGAGCTGTCCCCAAGGGGAGAGGGAGCCACCTCCAGCAGCAATGTGGGAATCTGGCTGCTTTCAGGAGCCTGGCATGCTCATGGGCTCGGAATGTTTCCCATGGAGAGCCCCAGATAAACTGGGAGAGGCTGCAGGATGGGGAATGTCCCTTCTGGAGGCCCTGTAGATTTTGTGCAAATAGCAGCACAGCTCCTGCTAGGGGAAACTAGTGGGAGCTGTGCTGCTATTTGCACAAAACCATTAAACCCACCAACAGAAACTGCCTTTGGGTTTGGACCTCCAGGATCTCCCTGGGCAGGGATTGTCCCTTAATAACAGAAACTGCCTTTGGGTTTGGATGTGCAGGATCTCCCTGGGCAGAGATTGTCCCTATTAACAGAAACTGCCTTTGGGTTTAGGTCTTCAGGGTCTCCCTGGACAGAGATTGTCCCTATTAACAGAAACTGCCTTTGGGTTTGGACCTCCAGGATCTCCCTGGACAGAGATTGTCCCTTAATAACAAAAACTGCCTTTGGGTTTAGGTCTTCAGGGTCTCCCTGGGCAGAGATTGTCCCTACTGACACAAACTGTCTTTGGGTTTAGAGCACCAGGACTTCCTTGGGCAGGGATTGTCCCTTAATAACAGAGATTGCCTTTGGGTTTGGACCTCCAGGATCTCCCTGGGCAGGGATTGTCCCTACTAACAGGCACTGCCTTTGGGTTTAGAGCACCAGGATCTCCCGGGGCAGCCAGATGAGAAAGGCAACAGCACAGGAATTCTGGCTGGCCACATTCCCCTGAAATCTCCTTTTTTCCCCTTTTTTTCTCTCTCTCTCCAACTGCAGGCTGCCAGCTCTCCCAGCCCAGCCGACCTGCCCAGCCCGTGGAACTCGAGCTGCTCTCCCCCTCAGCTGTCTCCCCTCACCCCGCTGACCCCCAGCCCGCCCTACAGCTGTCCCATGGAGGAGTGGCCCTGCCACCCGCCGTGTCCCCTGCCCAGCCCCGCCTGCTGCTGCACGGCCTGTGGCTCGCAGGGCAGGGACAGCCGGGGCCAGCAGTGCTTCCCCTGCCCCAGCACGGACTGCGTGGAATTCCTGCCACCCCTGGCCGTGCCCGAGGACTTCTTCAGGAGGGACAGGAGCTGTGACATTTGCTACAGCTAATGGGGGCTGTGGTTTCACACATCCACTCTATCCAAAGCAGATTAAATTGCCCATGAACTATGCAAAGTCGTGCTGCCTAACACAGCCCAGTTTATTCTTCACTACTTACACTTTTTTTACAAGATGCTGTCACTACATTGATCTAAGGTCAGGGGTGTTTTGTTGGTGGTGTGGTGGTTTGGTGGGGTTTTTTCCCTGTTTATTTTTTCATTGTTGCTGTTTTTTAAAATAAATCTGAAGCTGCCTTATCAAACACTTGTCATTAAACCAGCTCTTTTTGATACAAATAAATCATTTGGTGCAAATGCTGAAGCCTGGTCATTTTTCACGTGCTTTTCTCTTCTGCTGCTGACCCTGCTCTCAGAGGTGAGGATGAGATTTTGAGCAGCCTATTCAGTGGCACAAAAGCTCTCCCTCACCCCTTCCAGCAGATAAAAGGTCCATATTTAATCCAGCACCCAGCTTTTCCCAGAGAACACTGTTCATCAGCCAGCTCTGAGCTGGATCTGCAGCTCCTCAGGCTCTGCTGCAGCTCAGGCTGCCCTGGTGACATTTCCCAGTGGTTCTGGCAGAAAAGCAAAGCTGTTTGCCCCTCCAGGGTTTAGCCCATGGCTCCTCAGAGGCAAAATCCAGAGCCAAATTTCTCTGACTGCTGCTCAGCACCAGCTTCCCTGGGAGGCAGTCTCGGTGAGAGGCTGATGTAGTGTGGCAGCTCTTGGTCAAGTTTGGGCTGTTGATAAAAGATTTTCAGCATAATCAGCTGAACAGGAGCTAAATTATTTATTTTTTAAAAAAGTAGATAATAGGAAAGTTGTAATACCTGAGGATTTCCTGCTTCTTGCATAAACCCAGACCTTTCTAACATTTTGTCTTGCCTCCTCCTCTTGGTGAGACAAACTCAGTGTCTCAGCTGAGCACCCAGACTGGGAAGAAAGAAAGAAGCATCTCCCCATATTAAATTGCACAAAAAAAGAGAACATAACTACACCTGTGAAGAGAAATATAAATTCTATCCAGCAGTTTGCTCACCTCATCCAGACACTTGCACACTGAACTGAAAACCTTTCCAGTTCCTTTACCTTATGTAAGGTACCAGGGTGTTTTTTTTACCAAAACATGCTTTAAAAATATTCAAATAATATCTCCCCTTCTCCCCTGATTAATCTCAGGATTGGCCTAAGTGATAAATTCATGAGGTCACAGCAAAATATTTCTATTATTCTAATATAAATGATAAAGAGCTGTAATTTTGCAGCAGTTAAAGGTGTGATCACCCTGTGTAGGGACACCCCACCAAGTGTCATTTCAGTAGTGCTGGCAGCTGCTTCAGCCCCTGAGTGATCTTTTGGGGCCGTGAAGGGCTGAAATTCTGTCCCAGAGCTCACCCAGTGCCAGCTCCTCCTGCCTGCTGCCTCAGGAGCAGGCACACCTCGAGCCACACATCAGAACCCCTTATCAGCAACAAGAAAAAGCCAGAAAATAAGGCTGAGGCAAGATATTGGAGGCTTTTAAAGGAAATGGGGTGCCCACATCCTCCCCATGGCTTGGCAAGTTGGCCTGAGCTTAGCAGAGCCAGGGAGATGCTCTCAGGGAGTGAAAGGGCACCATGAAATGATAAATAAAAGTTTAAGAACTCAATAACATCTCACAGGAGCAGCCTAGGTGTGCACAGCAAGGAGGGCAAGTGTTGGAGTCTGACAAGAGATCTCTGACCTGCAGCTGGGGTGGATTATTGGCAGACTGCACACTTATCAATATCTTGTGGTGTGGATCCTCCCCAGGACTGCTCTGTGCAAGGGCTGTGCTTGTGCCCATCCCTGATCCACTGCTGGGCACAGGATTGTGCCCAGCAGTGGATCAGGGATGGGCACAAGCACATCAGCACTGAAACCACCCTAAATCCCAACCTTATCCTTGGATAATGCCTGATCCAGGCAAAAAAAAAACCCTCCTCAGTGGAGGAGACCAAGATATCTCCAGCAAAATGTTCCTACACACCAAAACCTCCAGTTTTTATCAGCTTCCATCACACAAGCAGCACCTTTTCCATCCCTTGCAGCTTCTTCCTCTTTCCCTGCTGCTCCTTCTCCGGTGGTTTTGCAATCCCCCCAGTGCCAGACTGGAAACAGGTTTGAGATCTGTCCCCACCTGGCTGTCAACAGCCCCAGGGACACACTCGGGACAAGTAGAAGCTTGCTGGCTGTTGACACAAGGCCTTGTTGATACAGAAAGGGAAAAAACACAACAGAGCCGTTCAAAGGTTGATTGTGTGTTTTCTGGCTGTGAGAAATGTATTATTTCCCTCTTTTATCCCTCCCAAAAGTAAAAAGGAGTTAAAGGAAATACCTAAAGCAGAGCTGGCTCTGCTGAAAGGCTGGCATTTCATCAGTCCCCGCCAGGTGAAGCCCTGACTGCCTCTATAAACACAAACCCGAGGATCATCTCGTGCTTACAAAGCCATGAATAACTCCAGAAGTCACCCACACTTACAGAGAAAAAGAAAAGCTTCTTATTTTCAGCTTCTCTACCCGAGAATTTGATCTAAAAGTTTCACTTGCCAACCGACTGACAGCTTTTCTATGGTGCCACTTCAGAACGTTTGTTTGGTGATAACGAGCCTTTGTTATTAACAGCTTATCCAAAGCCACAGGTAGGAAGAGATAAACTGTGCAAATAAAGGGATATCACACACTGCCAGCACGGCTGAGCTTTGAGAAGGCTCAGCAAGGCTGAGCTTTACATTTCCCCTGAAAGAGCAATAAAAAATTGAGGGGTGAGCTGTGAACTGCTTAAAGCAGTGGAATTCACCCTGGCAGAGACACTTAGGACAGGTTTGAGATTTAAAACTGATTTTCTTCACAGCCAGGCCAGGAATTGGGAAAGGGAAAATTGTTTTACACACAGGGGGAAGCAGCAGCTTCCAACAGTCTGGTGGCTCCAGTCCAAAGGCAACAGGAGCAGCTTGTGGATTGGGGCTGCTTCCAGAGCAGGCCTGTGCAGGCTGAGCTTTGGGAAGCTGAGCACAGCGAGGAGCAATCCTGGGCTCTTCCCACGGCAAACCTCATCTGTCAGCTCCCAGCAGCACCAGCTGCCAGGGGGATGCTTTCATTCCTCCCCTAAAAGGATATTTTCCCTGATATTCTGGAGATGGTGTGATTCCAGACTCCCATTGACACTGCTTTGTATGAAATACCCAAGAGATGACATAATCAAAAGAAAAGCCACTCAAGAAATCTGTATTTTTTTCACTACCAAAGGACTTCAGTCACCTCACAGACATTTCTAGGTGGCAAAAAGCTTTTTACATTTTATGTGCTGCTCACAGTTTGACAGTTCTGCTGCTGCAGGTTCCAGAAATTGATATTTTATCCATCATTCTGCCTTGACACACAGTAATACCTCCCTGATACAGTTCTCACTCCGTTCAGGGCTCGTTGTAACATCCTTCCAAGTGAGACAGCACAGGCTTTTGCTGGCCTGTGCTCAGATACATGAAAATTTATGCAAACACATGCAAATACACGTCTGCCTCTCTGTCAGCAGGATTGTAGGTACGTGTAGTGAGAGGCAATGGCCCAACAGCAGAGAGCAGGGCTGGAAAATCGAGATCTCTGCATTTCTTAAGAGCTTTTGTTCCTGTCAGTTGTTTAAACACTCCAGGCCTGCGAGTGCCTCAGGAAATCCCACTGAGGTAGCAGCCAGTGGCTGCAGTGATTTAAGAGCTCTGCCCCTCATCCCCCTGCTCATCCTGCTGGAGAACAGCACCCGTGCCCACCGAGGAACCAGCAAAATAAAAATACAGCTCAGAGTGAGCCCCAGGACGGGCCGGCCTCTGCCAAACACGGCCTTGCAGAGCCACTGATTGCACAGCAATCCACAAATCATTTCACAGAAACGCTGAAATGAACCTGCTACACCCTCCCAGGTGGGAAAGGGAGAAGGAGAGCCCTCCTTGCACACACCCACACGGGTTTGCTGCCCTAAAAGCTCTTGGAGACCCAAAGGGATTCTCTGTCTCCCACACAGGTGAGGTGAGCTCCCACCTGAGGGCTTCCAGAGCTGTTGTGTGCCACCAGAGCTGGAGACTGGGATGGGACTGGACTGGACTGGATTGGAGTGGATTGGATTGGATTGGATTGGGTTGGGTTGGGTTGGATTGGATTGGGTTGGATTGGGTTGGATTGGATTGGATTGGATTGGATTGGATTGGATTGGATTGGATTGGGTTGGATGGGATGGGATGGGTTGGTTTGGGTTGGATTGGGTTGGGTTGGACTGGGTGGGATGGGATGGGATGGGATGGGATGGGATGGGATGGGATGGGATGGGATTGGGCTGGATGGGATTGGATGGTTTTGGATTGGATTGGATTGGATTGGATTGCACTGCATTGCATTGCATTGGAAGTCTCCCCTCAGGAGCCAGAGCTGCCCCATGTCCTCGTTCTCACAGCAGCTGTTTCTGTCCTTGGGCTGGCCCCGAGGAGCTGCTCCAGAGCCCTCCCAGAGTGCTGAGAATGGGAGTTCCAGCTTCCAGGACCCCCCTTGGGGCTCTTGGCTTTGGATCCATCCCCTCGGGTGAAGTCCAGCCAGGGCTGACTCAGGTTCTCCATCCAGGCTCTGCCCCTCAGGATCCTGCACTCCCAGGAGAGCAGGGCCAGTGGAGCTGCACATCACAGAGGCTGCAGCATTTCCAGCAGTCCCCAGCCAGAGGCACAGTCTGGGGGTGTCTCAGAGCAGCATTTCTCAACCTTTTATAGCCAAACTGTCACCTTGTGCTCTGTCAGCCCCAGGGGTTTCAAACCTTGGCTGTGCTTTGATCTTACTTGGAATATTTACTTATTTATGTAGCAGCTCCTTGATTTGCTCACCTCCTTGCTGGAGGTTTATTCGCATTTTCTGTTACCAAAATTGAGTTTTCAACCATTTGAATGCTCATCTTCTGCTGTCTGACGTGCTGCTCGTGGCCACAGGTTGAGAACACTCTCACCCCAGCCTGGCTGAAGCCTGGAGGAGCTGGGATGTGCTGCAGAACCACCCTCACAGTTTTTATAGGAGGCAGAAGCTGGAGTTGAAACCGTTCCATAAAGTGCAGATAAATCAGGATCTGGCATTTCTGTGGCAGGAGTTGAATGCAGGTGTGACTTTCCCTTTCTTCAGCAAATTTCTGACCTGCCAAAAAATGTGGAATTTCAGGAAGCACCATCTGAGCCACCCAAACCACTCACACACACGATTATTTCCATGCACATGTGCAGCTAAATAAACATC